ATTTAATCTCACTCTTAACAGTCTTATTTTAATTTCTTTATATTTTCCATAAAGCATCGTAAATGTAAAGGTGAAAGCTAAGTACAAAAAAAAAAAAAAAAACAATTAGAGTGCTGAAAGTTTTCCTTAAAAATAATGAGGTAAATAATTTGTTCACTTAAATCTAAATGACTTCACTTCTCTCTTTCCGTATAAGGAATTATCCTCATGTAAGCTATCTAAACTAAATGTCTTTCGTCACCTGTCAAGTGACGTGAAAGGTTATGACCTATTTTGTTTTATTTTCAAACTACATCTTTTCGGCACAGAAGCTAAGTTAAGCATGGTTCAAAATATTTTAAATAAACATTATAATTTCTGATTTTCTTAAAATAAGTTTTGAAAAAATGATAATTGATTTTTAAAAGAATTTCAAAGTGAGATTTTCATTTTTTTTATAAAATGGAAAAAAAGAGGGTTGACATGATTATCTGCCAATTTTGATGACTCAAAAAAAAAAAAAAAAAAAAAAAAGCAAGATTTTTAACGATTAAAAAAAAAAAAAAACCCCCAAAATACTTTGATCTTTCCTCTTAATAATAACATGAACATTTAGACAATAAAATTTTGTTTTCGTCAAGTTTGGCATCTTTTTCATCATGCTATGCTCTTTTTTAGTGATCTCATGGAGTTACCTAGTTTAAAATAAAGAAAATGAGTGACTATTCCAAACACGGATGCATGCATGCATGCATGCATACATACATACATGCATGCATGCATACATACATACATACATACATACACTTCTAAAGAAATAATGGATCCATCCTTAATCCAACATTTTTATTACTTCAAATTGTTATTATACTGAACACTTATTTGAAATAGACATCCCATTTTTAATTTTTTTTTAAGTTTGACCGGGGCATTTGAGAAATCTTAGTAAAGAAAATGTAACCATAATACACACTGTTTAATAAATAAAAATGGGACGTCTATTTCAAATAAGAGGTGTCCACTATAATAACATAAGTAAAAATCAAATATTTAAAAGAAATTAACTTATTTGATATAGAAGTAGCAAAAGAATTTTTCATATTTCCTTCATTTTGAGAAATATTTTTTGATAAGTAGAGTAGAATTATGCTACAGCCTAAGGTTTCCTTTGTTTGACATTCGTTAGATAGAGGATTAATAAAAATTGTATTTTTCGAGTCTAAATTAAATAAAGGTCTAAAATGATGAAGATTTTAAAGTTGCCCACATTTCTTAGCTGAAACATTTTCTTTATTAAATTGCACACTAGTTTATCTTTTCTTATAGTTACTTTTTATTAAAATGTTCCATTTTTAAAACTTTCTATGACATCTACTTAAACAGTATGAATTTGAAAATAAAAAGTAATTTCTCATAAGATGGGTCTATGTAATCAGCAAAGCATCACCCATGTCAAGGGTTAAAGTTAAAATCTTGTCTGCGGCAACAACTCCAACAATCTATACTGCTGGTTTAATCAGGGGTCAAAGGTAAGAAATGCAACAACAGCAACAAAAAGAAAGATAAACAGAAACTGGTCAGAAATTAAATTTTCAAAGAGACTATAACTTAAAATACCAATAACATTGACAGTCATATCTTTTTAAAATTTCTCATGAAAAATCTGACTTAGGTCTGCTAGGCAAATAGACAAAAAAAAAAAAAAAAAAAAAATAAATTAAAGATAAAATTTAAGAAAATGTGTTCTGATTACACTGGCAACAGCATTCTATTCTTATTCATCAGATCACTTAAAATATTTTTAGTTTTTATTAAAAACTAAAAATATTTTAAATAAAACTTTTTCAAGAACAACTCAATTGTATGGGCATATGGAGCGAGGTCGAATATTTTAAATATGTTCCTAAAAACTATTTTTTTTTTAAATAACTAAACATTTTACCATAATAATTTAATAAAAACTTGAATCAAAACTGGATATTTATGAAAAACAAATAAAAAATAACCATATTTTTATTAATGAAACTTGCCTAAAAAGTCTACATTCCAAAATGCAAACTCATCGATAGTATTTTACTTTTAGAATTTAGAATTTTATATTTTAATTTTTTTATACTGTTTAGCTTAACTATCATTATTCACCGATCAGAGAATCAGTAGTTTCTTAGAGTGTTGGTTGATAGTTTGTAATATACTAACATTAACAACAATTTTTTGTACTTTTTGTTTGCTACCTTTTTAAAATTTAGAAAGGAAAACAAATTTAGAAACCGAATATTGTCAAATTTCATATCCATCATCGGGTGATAAGTTTTTCTTTTTTTTTTCAATTAGCAGAGAAAAATTGCAGATTTCTGAAATTTAAGAACTTCAGTTCGATATACTTTTTATTTCAGAAGGGAAAATTTATTAAGTTCATTTACGTTTTTTGACCTGAGAATTTATTTTAAAATAATTTTTTTACTTACATTGTTCAATGCATTGACTGGTTATTTTCTATAAAATAATAATTACCAAAATAAGAGTTTTCGTTGTCAATTTTTAGATAAATGAAATTCTTATGACTATGCCAATCTTAAAAATAAAGAAAGCTGGTAGAAAGGGAAGAAGAAAATAGGACTTCACGCGGAATTGAACTACTTTCTACATTTTTTGTAGAACTAACGAACATATGAGAAATTGATTTTTACACACACATTCATGTATAAAAAATGGTAAGTTTTTACAATTATTGATTTTTTTTTTATTGTTATCTTTCGTTATTTTTATTAGTCTTTTTATCAATTAAAAAAATATAAAAAAAATATTGATGTATAACTTTTTTAGGGGGGGGACAGACAGAAAAATAGTGAGTCAACAAGTTAACCTTGTCTTAGTTCTTAATAAAAAGTTTTAAAATAATGCATTGGTACTGAAAGTTACACAAGTTTATGAACGAATTTTTTGGAAATTACTTTTTTTTCTTTTTAAAAAAAAAAAAAAAAATCAATCAATGTTAGTTAGCATATTTTTTTAATGCTCGACTTCGTTTTGAATAGGGTAATTTATATTTTTTTTTAATTATAAAATTAATAACAAACCACAAAAATGTGCGTAGGCGATTAATTTGAATAAAAAAAATTACTTGAAGGTAAAATAAAATACATAAAGAGAAATTAAAGTAGAAAGAGAAAGAAAAAGTTTAGAATGAAAAATTGAATGCAAATCTTGGTGTCTAAAATTACGTCTTCTTGGGTATAAAAAGGGTGTGTATGCAAGGACTAACTCTCTAATCACCGGGGGGAAAAGAAAAAGGATGGTTAGTGTTTAATTCGATATTCAAAATTATTTATATCTATAATTTAATTTTTATGAGCAAGGAGGGAAAATGAACAAACTTATTTTTTTTTCTTTTTTTTATATAAATAAAAATTAATTTATTTAATGAAGTTATTTCCATCGTAAGATATAAATAAAGAACGAATAAACAGCCCAAATATCTAATCAGAAAAAGGAAATCGCAAAATTAAATAAAGAAAAAAAAAGAAACTAAATTGTAGAAACAAAGAATTCTATCAATGTTAAGCTAAGCAAGAAGCCCCAGGATACAAAATCCATAGACATTCTTTCCTCAACAAGGGGAGATAATTGAATAAATGCGACAATACAAAGTATGGTAGCTTTTACTGGCAATAAACCTCTCATATATATATATATATATATATATATATATAAAAGATGATTTTTTTTTTTCTAAATAAGAATTAAAAAAAAAAAAAAAAAAAACTTAACAGAAAGAGCTAAGAAAATACAATTTAGAAAAACTAAATGTGACACCCATATAGATGGCCCCCGAATAACTAGTCTTCAATATACTTAATTCAAAGTTTTTCTACTTAATCAATCAAAATTAGTGACTCAGCGTGAATTAATAATGAATTCAATTCTAAAAATACCAACGAAAATATTAATCGCGCATTAAAAAAAACCCAAAAACAGTTAATGTCACAATATAAGATTTTTTTTAATATACAATGGTGCATCCATAGTTTAAAATAGTTTGCCGCTCTGTTACCATTTTTAGAACCTCAACAAGCGGTAAGCATCAACTAGAGAAAAAAAACGGAAATTAGTGATTTTTCGTTTAAAGACAGGAAATTTTTTTTATTCATAATTAATATATGCAAATCATAAACTGATTAAATATATATTTATGTTTATATTCTATTGTCAGAAATAAATACCTGGAAAAGAGGGGAAGTTTTTTTTTTTTTTTTTTAAGGATGCCACTAGACCGGCGACCTGACGGAATTGGTGTACAATTCAGTACAGTACAGAAGTCCCGGGCACTTTGTATTTTTTATAACCTTCAAACCGGCAACAAAATAAGGTGAAAAAAAAACACTTAAACCTATAATGCAATTTCAATAAAGTAAAAAGTCAGAGAAGCAGCCATTATGCAACCAAAGGGAGTATTGATAATCGATTTTAGCAACCAAAGGATTTATTTTAGAAAATAGTTTCCTATTTTTATATTTTAAAAAAAAAAAAAAAAAAAAGACGAAAACCACATTTCACTGCTCAAACTTTAAAAAGAAGAGAAACCATATGAACCCCTGCCTCAATTAAAAGCGAGAAAAAAAGAAATTAAAATCAGGTCTTGATTTGAATAATCGAAAATCAAACGAAAATGACTAGAATATGAAGAAATCAGATTGTTATTATTGGAAAGATATAAAAGAACGAAAAAAATATATATAGAAGACGATATTAATTGTTTAGTATCATTATAGCGAAGGAGAGTTGAGTAGTTGTGAGCAAGGCAGCAGCAATTTTTAGCGACCCGGGTTGTTTTCTGCCATGATGATGAGAAAGGCTGACGACGGTTCGAATCCTACCTGGGCCAACACTCACGCACACGAATGCAAATCTGCAGTTACGCTCGCATTTTAAGCCAGTTTAACATTGATCTCCACAGGGACGCATCGTTGCGGGAACAAGCGGGGATAAAATCCGACCTGAAAGCGGTAAAACGTACGTACATGGTTAGTTTGCGAAGGATTTGGAAAACTGGTCAGTCCAACATGGTCGACATGTTTGTTTGAATCACGTGGTACATGTGCATAATAAATGGTGCGGTGGGACCGGCGTGGCTCAGTTAGTTGTCACCACTGATTCGACTATATTAACGAAAACACTTTTTAATATAAGCTTCTTCAGAAATAAATTTCAAATACACCTTAACAAAAACCTAATAACATTAATAAGTTTTCTAATGCTTTTAAAAAATACGCATACACAAAAAAACTAAAAGACTCTCAACGACCATTGCTTGATTACGCACAAAAGATACAAAATTGTTAAGAAAATCAACAAAAGAATAAATAAAATAATCGCCCAAAGCGGAATTATTATTTTTTAATTCTATTCGGCATGACTTCGGATAGAATGGTTAAGCACGCTTCCTTTTTAACTTATGAGTTTCGTATTCATAAACAAAACACTATGACCCGCATCGCGACTGGCGGGTTGATGGTAATAATAAATCAGACCTTTTTTTTTTTTCTGTACTTTATTTTCCTATTAAAAACATTGACATTTGTTTTCGAGGAAAAGGGAATCCTTGTTGCTGTCAAAACTTCAAAATAAGGCTTATTCGTAGCGTGGAATATAGTAAACAAAAATGTCATTTTAATTAAATTGTTTTTTCGTTGCTATGCCTTCCTTACCCGTGGTGCGAATTGCTTTAAAAATTTATAAAAAGGAACTCGCAGTATTTAATTTAAACTAATTCACATTATAATATATTATTATTTAATAATTATTATTATTATTCAATTTATAATATAAATTAATTATTTAATTTAAATTAAGTAATTTAAATTGAAAGCAAAAAATCTTTTCTCTCTAGTCAAGAAAAATTACTATCAATTTATTAAATAAAGTCGCCAAATGAATTTACAAATCAACTAACAACTGAAAAAAAACAAAAAAAAAAAAACAACTTTGCTTACAGAATATATTTATTCTTAACACTTGACTTCCATATTCTGAGTTTATCTCAAAGTTGCAATCAGTGAGGTCATTTTTCTTTTAAAGTTTTAAAAACACTTCGGAAAAATAATTTGTCAAAAACTCAAAATTGTAATATGAGACAGTTTCAAAAAATAAGAATGAGATGATATAATTGTAATAAAAAAAAATGATTTACTCTGAAATATATTTTTAAATACTTAAACTTAATTAAAAATCTATGTCTAAGTAAGTACGGGACTGAACAATTTAAGTTCAACAATGTAGTTAGATTTAGAGAAGGAAGTTGTTAGAATGCCGATTTTTTTTTAACTCCTACAACTAAATGTTGGTGAGTTCGTTCCTAAACAGAAATTTTTAATGACCTTTTAATGATCTCTCTTCAAAGACACGCGCAGCAATAAAATTTTATATACAATGTTATAATTTATTATTTTGGTTTTAGTTTTTAAAATAAGAAAATTCCTTAGCATTATTACGCGACAAGTTGTTAAAAAAATGAAAACCGATTGTCATTTTTTTGTTTTAACATTGTGTTCATTTACAAATTTCACTGTTCTCTTCTATAATTATAACATTAAAAACGATTACTAAGTTAAAAAAAAAACCACATGTGTTTAAATTGATTAAAATATCCCAGAATCAACGCAAGAACATTTAAAATTTTTATTAATAACCAGTTTAGCTTTTTTTGCATGAATTATCTGCCCTTGTCTTTTTGGGCTTTATCGGCTAATTTCATTTTTATTTATTTTACAGCATTTTTTTTAATTAAAAGTGTCCATAACTATATACAACATTCTTATTTCGTTGCTATTTGATTTTGTTTCAGTGTTTATTCATAGAAACAATAATCAGATAACACTCAAGCCCACATCTGGATTTGAACCTATGACGGAACTCTTTACGTTTTTTAACTTCTTTGTTTTGTAGAATTAATAATGGCAAATGATAATTTTGGTCATATAATCAACGATGTTGCTGAATTATCGGCCAAAAGTAGTTCAGTGGATATTTTAATTACCCATAAAACTGATGTTAAATAAAAACTTTATTTGGAAAAAATGCTGAACGCTGTGTTTGGCGAACATTTTTTTAATGATTAAAAAACAAGCAAATAATCATAATGGATTTTTTTTTAAAACAAAAAAATATTAAACAATTTGTGAACGGAACATTTCCAAAATAAAATACTAGTTTCTGTTTACTCACGTACGAAATCTAAACATTTAATTTGTAAAATTCAATAATCTTGCTTAATTAAAGAAGATTATTGAATTTTGTAAATTAAAAATTTCCAAATCCTTCAGGGTACTATCATTTTTATTTTGAACATTTTTAATTCCAAAAACAAGACTTAAACGAAACCCGATGTCCATTGCCATTTAAATTCTTGAGAAAAAAATTGTAACTTCTTGTACATAAAATATTGAATGTATATATAATTGATAATTTAAAGTTTATTTTATTTTCTAAAGTAAATAAAGACTTGTTCTACCATGGAAATTGTAGGTAAAAGTGTCTGGAAAAAAGTCAACTTAGCTTGTATATAGAAAATAAGGAATATTTTCATTAGTAAAATAATTAAGATAAATAATATTAATAAATTATGGAATATTTTAATTTATTTAATATGTCTAAGGAAAAGAAATCGTATTTAATTTATAAATATTTTAATGAACTAAATTACAGTCATATAATTTGTAAAAAAGTAATATTTTAGTAATCAAGATAATTAAGATATTACATTTTACAACAAATTAAATATAATTTTTCTTTTATTATGCTATGTTAAATAAATAATATCTCCTATTATAAATGAAAACATTACTTATTCTCTTAGTGACGTTTCCTACTCACCACATGTCAAATTATTACAATCACTACAATTTTAATCTGTTCAAATCTAAGGTTAACTGTTATCTTCCCTACATATCCCCATAAACTATGCCTCTTTGTAACACTCTACTTCGAGTGGCTCTTGGGCCTTATACAGGGTGAACTTTATTATAAAAATAAGAATAGTTCTTATTACTTTTTTCATGCTCTACTAAAGTGTACCCTATGACTTTTTTTCCCCAGTCATTGCTTTCAGAGATATTCTTACAGTCAAACACTAAATATTATGGAGAAAAAAAAAATAGGGAAGCAGTGATGAGCAACTGATATAAAAGTTACATCTACTTTTATTTAAATGTCTCATTTAGGAGATTTCATGTTTTTTACTTCTTTAATTTTTTAAAATTAAATTGAATCCATGGCCAATGCAAGGGTCTTGTGGCTAGAGCTTGTGCGTATTACCCCCAAACCACCTGAACAGGGGGTGGGGAAAACCTGATTGGGGGTCCTGAGTAGTGCTTTTTGACACATACTATCTTACCAGCACTTAAGCAATGATGAAACTAAGCACAACTGACTATTAAAGGATCACAAAGTTTTGCAGATTTTGACATCATTCTGAGGTCTTCTTTTTTGGCCAAATCTGTGAATCTGTTTTGCTCATGCTAAATCTTGAACAAACACAATATAAAATTCACTATTTTTTATTCATAATGTTGAATGTGTTAAAACTATTCACCTTCTTAACAAGAAAAATGTCAAGTTGATGTTAAAAATCACTGCAAACAGTTGTTGATTTATTTAATGATCCAAAAATCAGTTTCTGACAAAATAAAAATGTCTTTTTAATGAGACTTATTAGTAAGATATGATATCCCTGCTCAGTTGATATCAACATAAAACAAAATTTATTTAATTTTTCTAATTTACAGAGAAAGATAAAAATTACACAGTATTTAACACATATACCAAATTATTAATATGCAAATTTTCAGTTTTTAAGCTTGTATAGTTATTACATTATTAGAAATTATATACCATTTCAGTAACACACTTTGAGATTGAGTTGAGCATTTTTCTGTTAAATATTCGTTTACTATTATGTGTGCACATGCAGAGTAAATAAAAGGATAACATATCAAGTAGCCAGGTTCCAAGCAGTCCGCATGGTTAATACAAATAGCATTTGGATTTAATAGTTTAAGGCAGTGGTTTCCAAATGATGTGGTGTGGTGGACGAGGATAGCAGGTGAGACAGAATGATTGAAAGACAATCAAAGATTTAGAAACAGTTTCAAAATATTCATATGCCAAAAATAAATGATTTCAGAATTTAAAATATTATCATGGATTACTTGTAATTGCATGCATGAGTATAAATAGTTATAAATAATTATTGTGCGATTTTATCATTGTGATATTTTTGCATTATATCAAGTATTAAGAATATAGTAATTAGGGTCTGCAAATTGGAGGAGAGAGTTATCAATGATAATGTTCTGACTTTGAATCCGGGGTTATCTCCCTTTAACCCACTCTCCGGACCATCTTTGCCATAGGGCTGCTTGTGTCTTTTCAACGGGACTTCCCTTTGGTGAGGTGTGAACGAATTTTCATTCTGAAAATGTGGCCAAGAGAAAAAAAGTTTGGGAACCACTGGTCTTAGACAAAGTCATTAAAAGATCTTCCTGTGTCTAACCTATTCCCTGCCATAGGAAAACTGTATTCATAAGAGACTGAACTAAAAAAAAAGGAAAAACAATTTTTGTAAATAACCAGTTATTTCTGGAATATAAAAATTTTAGATTTACACTTTATCTGCTTTCATCTTTTCCTTTCGTTTTTCATTGCAGATGACTTGAATAGTTTCACAAGTTCAAGTTTCCATCTCATTCAAGTCACTGGACTTCAATGCAAAACCCTTAATTATAAAGTGAATTTTAAGAAGCTATTGGATAGATTGCAGATACAGACTGAAGAGTCATATTATAACAAGCAAAAGTCCAGAATTAAGGAAATGTGTAAATGAGATTTTTTCTTTAAAAGGAATATCAGAAGAATTTATACAGTTTAACAGATTTAGTCATAATGCATTCCAAAAATCACACTGTAATATGATTTAATATCTTCTTAAAATTTGTCAAAAGAAATCATTTAAAAATTAACAAATGCATATTATAAAAATTTGTATAAAAAAAAAATATGAAATTATATTAAAAAATATTAATGGGTAAATAAAAAATAATGCAATAGACTAGGTTTATTGCACTTTCTTCTGAAGGGAGTGTTTGAAAAACATTTATTAAAAAAGAAAGTTACAAAAATGTCTTCTTTAAATAAAAAATTTCTAAAATTAAGCTAGACAGTTAATAAAAAATGAATAAAATTTGATGTGTAAAACTTTGTTTAAGTTAGGCTCAGATATGAAGCTGAAATAAACCATCAAAATGAAGCCTC